AAAAACACACTTGTTTGGAGACCATGCCTGTGCTTACTTTGTGCAGGAGCTGCCCATGTCCTGAGGAGTCAGTAGCTACACTTGTTATGACTAAGGTAGACCTTTGGAGCAGATGTTTCTATTGATCTAATTTCGAGGACACGCATCACTGTAGTGTCCAAGTCACCTTAGGCAGCATATTTCAGGACTATGTATAAATAATATTGATTTTGGATGCCTGTTTCTAAATGGAGAAAATGCAACATCTGCATCTTTCTTCTCCCTGAACTTGCACCTGGTATTTCTAATTCCTTCCATGCAGACTGGCTATAAAGCACTTTCTTATATTATTGCCTCTGTGTGTTCCTAGAACCTGATCCCACAGAAGTCAACAGCACGATCTTCATGTGCACAAGATCAAACCTTGAAGATGTAGATAAAGACCAAGGTGAAGGAGATAATTGTACACTACTCCTGTACACTTTCATACTGAAAGCCTCTTTCTGCTAGTAAACTGAGTATAGTGCTTTGTCCAGATAAAAATACTTTGGAAGAAGCCATGCTGTTGCAAAAGATCAGTCAGAAAATATCTGTCCCTCACACATTACCCCTACAAGTTCATTCCTGATTCCTTGATAAGGAAGTGGGGCATCATCATAGAAACAAAAAACAGAGTGAAAAAAAAAATGATCTTGTGAGAAGAAAGAAAATGTATCACAGCCTAATCACTTAGCTCTCAAGGCAGAAACAGAGATTTATGCTGTTGTGGGTATCCTTGTCACCTTGGACACTGGTATGCAAGAAGGTGTACCTGAAAATTATTTCTTTCATACATTTTTGCAAGTGGAGCTTGCAAAAATGAGCATAGTATAAGCTCAGGTTTAAATTAGCAGTAAGTTGTGGTGTGGAGGCTTTTGTGTGATGGTGCCCAGTGGCACTTGTGAATTGAGATGGCCACTGCAGGGAGTGAACATTGTACATGGCCTCGTGTGACACCTTTGCTCTGCTTCTTTGAGCACCATAGGAAAGGGCAGACCAAGTAAAGTTCAAACAGTGGGGCCAGCTCACCATGCAGAGGCATATAGCATATTTAAATTTACACCTCAAATTTTTATCCAAACTGCTCATCTAAGCTGATGGATACAGGGTAGTTGCATTAAAATCTTCACCTTGTTGACAAATAATAGGCTATTTTAAAAGTCTTGCAATTGTAGCAATTCAGTTAGATGATGTATGACTAAGGTGATTGTGGAGAGTCTGTATACTAGTTGATTGGTTATGTTCTCTATTAGTGTAGGAAACACATCCACTATGCTTTAGTGAGATATATGGAAGTTTTAAAAGTGCCTTTGGCATTGGAACCTAATATGAAATATATTGCAACGTAAAGTTCTTTCATAAAATCTAGCCCAGTTTATCACAGCAACATTAGGAAATCAGCAGAGATTATTTTGTTGAGCAAAAGGTGCAGAATTTGGCCCAACTTTTGATTGCCTGAATGATTTATGCAATTGCTGCTGCACTTATTTCTATTTGTGACTAAATGCAAGTTGCTTTCTATGGGAACTTGAACTGTGTCCTGTGTATTATTTACATGTGTTGAAAGAAGCATTGATGTATGATAGCAGCCAGTATAAAACTACCAGGGGAAGGCTATTAAGACACCAACATGCTGAACTCATTTGGCAAATTTATCTTGTATTATTTTTAGTAGAAGTTCAGATGACTGTGTATCCCCATTGCATCTCCTGAGCTTCCAAAAAAATTTAAAATACCTAAATTATCAAATTATTTGTCCTTCAAAAACCAAGTAAGTTTTATTGACAATCTAACACAACTCTGAGGGGCCCTGGAGGCTGCCGCTGTAGCTCAGTGGCTGCAGCAGTAGGAAGACCCAGACCAAATTGCACCTTCAGGTTGCATATCCTGCCTTCCCAGCTGAATACCCTTAATAAAGGCAGAGTTAGTCTGCGTGTAAGGAAAGCTCTGCAACAGAAGAGGTAGTGCAGTAAAATAAGTTGGAACCTGGTGTGTTGCTGGTCTCCAGCAGAGGATGTGTGGAATCAAGCACCCTCAGGCAGCAAAAGACATCCAGCCTGGGTTCACCACATCTTAGGAATGTTTCTCTTCAGGAGAAAGAAAGGAAGCAGAGAGGTGGCAGCAAGAATTCTTGAGCAGAGACATATGTACCACAGCATCCCTTAGGAGGACAGACTCCCTAATTGCAGTAGCTTTTATAGCTCCCCTGGCCAGGTACCTTATTGTCCCTCATCTCCATGAACTGCCATGGCTCAGAGCTGTGACTCCAGTAGGTGACAGCTGATAATTTATGAAGCATTTCCTCTTGGCCTTTAGCAGGGATTTTTCTATACTGCAGTGAAAGTCAAAACTCAGTTCTAAGAGACCACCATTAATATCTACACAGACCTCTCAGCTGAACAAAGTCCTCTGCACCAGTGCATGCTCCACTCTGGCATCACACTTCCACACTCATCTTCCCCACCACTCGTGTGAAGCACCCTCAGGGTGCCAGCTGACCATCATCTTCTTCCAGCACCCTTTCTTCTTCTCCAGTGCTGTTTGCTACATGACATTTGAAAGCAAAACAGGCAAGAGCACCCTGACTGTTTATGCTCTATCCCAATGGCTCCTGACATCTTTTCACTTGGAAAACAACGAGATAACTGACTGTGGCTAGGGAAACTGGGACCTGCTGGGTGAGTTACACAGCAATTATATCTATTTCAGGATAATTCAGGTACACCTCATTACTCCTGGCGTATCGCTGATTTTATTGCAATTAAATCCTGGAGGTTTCAGGCTTGGCTGAAATGTCAAATATCAATTAAAAAAAAAACAACAAAAAAAAAAACCAAAAAAAACCAAAAAAACAAACAACTCAGACATTCACAAAATAGATGGTTCCTGGAGATGCTTTAGTAACTCTTCTGCCCTCCCCTGCTTTCTGATCACCAGCTCCAATGAATATCAAACTGAAATCTGCCTCTCACCATATAAAAATGTCATCCAAAATGGGTGCAAATCACTAATACTTCAACCTTACCAGCTAAATGTATGCACCTTAGCTATACACAGGGAGAGATAGATATGCTGTGCCAGCACAGGTCAAGGACAACATGCTAGGTAAAATTATAGTAGTAAAATTATAGTACATAATAGGAGATGCTTCTCAGGAGTCAGACAAGTTTGGACACAGAGAAAAATAAGGTAGTGCAACTGGTGCATTTCTGTCCCTCCTTACTACAGCTAAGTTCCTAATTAAATGAGAAAACAACAAACACAGCTAGTAAACTATTTGTTTTCAAATAGTGTCTAACAAGATGAGAACAAGATGAGTATTTTAAATGTTCACCCTCTAGATATCTCAAGCCTAGTCAGTGATGTTTAACACATCCTTTATGAAAACACTGTTTCTTTCTTCCGTGCAGGAGCAGAAGGGAGAGAAGCTGTTCCTGGGATGTGGGCAATAGATTGCACCTGTGCACTGGAAACAAACACAGATTCTCCTCTGTGAGCATGATAGTGGTATTAGCTCAATGTTCCAGTATCAACAGAGCCAGCAAATATTTAAATGAGATTGGATTATTTTCTTCATTGTTTTGCTACAGGGGGAGAAGACACTTCAGTGTCTGTCTTTCCATTTAATATTGTATAACAAAGCAAAAGAGTCAAGTTATTTAAATTGTTCATGCGTGTGTTGAAAGAGGGATGGTAGAAAGCAAGCCAACTGGAGGCTAAAACACCTTGTCTCTGCACTATATGGGAACACAGCTGGATTACAGCAAATTGATGTCCTAGGCAAAATACAACACAGAATTCCCTGAGGCTTTCTCTGCTCCCCCAAGGACATGCAGCATCTCCACAGCCACACAGTGCTGCACTGACAGGAGAGTTTTCTTCTCTGGCAGGCAGAGGCTTACCTACCATCCACTTCTGGCACCATGCTAGCACCCATGGGGACATCCAGCATGGGCCAAGGCAGTGTGGCCTGAGATGCCATACTCCTCCAGAAACACCTTCCAGCAGCAGTGCAGTTACTCTTGGCTTTTAGAGTTTGCACTGTAATTTGCCTTGGGCTAGTCTTCAAGGTGCAAGTGGATTTTTTGCATCCATTATGCACTCATCCTTCACAGGTTTTCCTTCTGATCATGAGATCTAGAGATATGTATGAGCTTCTGTTCAGATGCAGTAGTACAGCTCCCAGACAGAGAGACTGAGATTTAGACCCAGTAGAGCCACCACCGTCTAGCATGGGGGCAGTTGGGAGTGTTTGCTGTGGATCCATTTCACAGAGGGTGAGATGTATCCCAGCTATGAATAGAAAGTACAGGCAGCAGCACTGGCAGACCCTTGCAAGGCTGGGCTTCCTTCTTTCATTCCAGCATCCCCCTGGCACACTGAAAGATTGGGAATGGAAGACTGCTTCAGATGTAAAGCATCCATTTGTATTTAATAGCTAGCATTGATTTCCAATTTCATATCTGCTGCACAGCAGCCGCTGGCCACATTAAAATTCATCATCGTCTTCACTGCACCTTCCAATTCAGGCTCTACCATCACCCTTAATGAATCAATCCATGTCAGCATACAATGTATATTTTTTAAATATTCTTAGTGACTTTATAAAGTTAAATCAGCTGGACTTTGAATAGCCTGATTTTAGTTTGTGGGGCTAAGAAGATTTAATATAAAACAAACAGTTCAATTATATGTTCAACCTGTATTGAAAAACTTGTTACTGGACTACTCTCTCTCCTTAAACCACATATGTTTAATGCATGATAATAGCATTTATCCATCATCATGAAGCTTTTCTGCTTCTTAAAGCAACATGGAAAACACTGATCATCTGTGTTATTCTTTGCCAGTGTTAAGGTGCAGCTCTCTGCATTGGTCACCCTTTGCCCACACCTTGAGCATGCACCAACCCAGTCTGCTCAGGAGCTTGGTATTTTGGAAGGATGAAGGGATCACAGGCTTGTTTGTTCCAGAAAGGGAAGCAAATATTTTATTTCATGCTCTGTGGCTTTGTAGAAAGCATTAGGGTTTGTTTCTGTATCAGAGGGTTGCAGACCTTGCTATCCAGTGGCCTTGCTGGTAGCACCAGCAGAAACACTGGAAATGCCAGTGATGCAGAAGAAGGGGACCTGGGGCTTTTCCAGCCTGCAAAAAGAAATGTGGTCGGCCCAGGGATCAATAGAGGCTGCTGCTTGCTTTGTTTCACATGACCTGGAACCACTCTGCTTTTTTCACCTTGTTACAGGGCAGCACTGTCAGTGTGTGGTCTCCTCAAGGACTTGTGCAGCCCTGTGTAAGGAAAAGACAAAAGTCTTAATAGCAAAGGATTGTGTAAGACTCTGACAACTGACAGCAGCAAATTCACTTGGTTGCTTGGTGCCACGTGTAAATGAGGTTTTTGTTTGCAGAAGGGCAGTTCTGTTTGTATCATGTTCTCCTTCAAGAGATTAATTCTCCCTCGACTTAATGTTAGCACAGTGAGTCCAGAGATACAACTCATCAATTAAAAATTCAATAAAAATAAGCTGTCATTACCATAATCCTGCAACGTGGTGTTGAGAGCTGTACCATCCTGGCCTGTGACAAAAGCCCCAAAGACTGCCGGCTGTGGTGTTAATTGATTGGTGTCATTTATAAGTAATCTAACAATCCTGAATAATTTATTTTGCAGTGGCATGTGCTGAAAATATACAGCTGCACAGATATTTGCACAGCTTCAGAAGAAATAGTGCTAAACAGGGTGTAAGGCAAAGATTAAGATTCAGTGATCTCCTCAGGAGTACTTTATCATGTGCTCTGCTCTCCAGTGCTTTTATTACAGCAGGAGTATATAGATCTGACAATAGGAATGTATAGACCTGGGTGGTCAACACATACAGGCTCGATATTCTCTTTCACAGAAGATTGCCAATAATGAACTTTAAAAGCGAGGAAGGTGGATGCCAAGCAGGAAATACGCAGGGCTGAGGACAGCCCTGATGAACCACAATAAAAATTGACCACTGTGTTTCCACAACAAGGATGCTGATGATGGGAAATAGTCTAACTATTTAATCTCTCTCCGGCCAAAATGGAATAAAAACTCTTGCCATTGACTGAGCAGGTTTTCCAGGGGTCACATAGTGGGGAGTTACTCTCATCAACACACATTGTTTTTACAACTGCATGAAAAGCCCCAGCTGACACACTTTGAAATCAGGAGGAACCGCCCCAGAGAGCCTGAAGGACTGAAGAGACTGGCAGCCAAAGACAAATCTCTTCCCTTACAGATGCACAAATGAGAAGTTCGTGTGAGATCTTATTTGGTCAGGCAAAGCTGCCACTCCAGTCAAAGGCTGATGACCTGGGCCTATTTTAAGTTCACATCACCCCTCACCCAAAATTCATCCCATCCCCACAGGCCATACCCTTCTCCTTTCCATTTCTCTTGAGGCACGTCCCTAAATTCCATTGCAGTGGAATGATTAACTGCATTTCTGGGAGTTGCTTTGAAAAATTGTATATGTGCGTTGTAACTGAACCCTAATCCCATGCATGTTTGCAAAAGAACATGGAACTCAACCTCAAAACACTCATGATGAAAGGATGGGCTCCTTACAACATCATTTCTGTGATGTTCTGTCAAATTTTAAAAGTAGAGAATTTTAATTTTGAAACCAGATTCATATTGCTAGCTTAAAAATTGCATTTGTACAAAATATTTGTATTTTAACAAGTGTGGCAGGGCGGGGGATTTCTTTCTGAATATAACCTTTTGAAGTGAAGTGATCATGCGGAAATCCTAACTTCCATTTAACAAAGTTTTTGGTTCTTCAATCTGCTCTTGGAATGGAGCCTAAAAATACAACCAAATATAGCTAAATGCCTCAGAAACTAGAATGGCAGGAAAAAAAAGCACACAAGCTTTTATTTTAAAACTCTTTTCCCCCCCTTCCTCCTGACTTTGACCCTGTTTTTGGGCCTAGAGGGTAAACCTACTAACCCTGAGTACAATGAGCTCTGCCATCTCCATGGGACTTTTCCATTTGCATTTTGAGAGCTATGCTTGTTTGAGGAGAATGCTGACTGCAGGCAGCAAATCCCATCTTGCTCCAGAGAAGTCAACAGAGAGCTCTCCCTGACTTCAGTCAATGCTGGATAGCATCCAAAGAGAGTAAGGGCAGCAGGGAATATACTTGTTATCATTATTCATGTTGGTTGTGTAAACAGCGCTCACTTGTAACTAAGAATATATGACTTTTTCCCTATAATTTTAAGGGGAAAAAGACATTTACCAAGAAAATAATCATTACTGCATGCTGCTCATTTTTTCCATTGCTCTGCATGTAAGAGCATGCATTGGTACAAATACAACTGATCTGGTTAAGTGTTTTAATACACCGGGGAGTAAATTGTTTGGGATGAAAGAAATTAATTATCCACAGTTTGCAGGGCTGAAAGTCTGGCTGTTTTAATGTTACTGCTGAGTAAAAAATTTAAAAGTGTAGGCTGTGGTAAGCTGAATACGTCTTCAGATTCTAGTCTAGTACACTAAGCATATTAATTAGATTACTGTTCATTCTTTCAGTAGTGCTGAACCCCCCAACATGGCTAGTAGGATAACTAAAGGTAAACAGCCAAAGAACAGATAATTTTCCCTAGATTATTTTTCCATTAATTTAATTCACAATGGGAAAAACTCATGGTTTCCTCCTAGGATAGGGATGGCCAAAGCATAAGTGGTAAAGACAATATCTCAAGAGGTCACAGATGAACCCAAGAGCTGATGTATTTGCACAGGAGGCAGGGAGTGTCTCAGGCTGTGGACTGCAGCAGTGTGTGTGCTCCTACTCCAGGCCATGCAGGCTAGACCCCCTGCTCCCCCTGGAAACAGAGGGCTCCTGTACACAGCAAACACAGCCAGGCCTTACACAGACCTTTAGTGTTTGGATAAGAGATTCTGTGATAAAACTAAAGGATGTCCTCAACTAGGCTTTCACATCAGCTTTTTTCTACAGGACCTTTATTTTTGTCCATACTACCCTCCAACTTGTTCAGGGTAAAGGAGAGAGAGAAATACTTATTTACTTACTTCTTTGTTTGATTTCACCCCAACTTAGGCAAAGCTTCACAATTCAAAAACATCAGCTTGCGATATCTGAAGCAATTCCTCTTCATTAATACCACGGGAGTAACATCTTGGGAAATTAAATGTTTCCCACTTGGGCTTTTGAATGCAGCTGCTGCCAGATTCCCTTTGAGCCCTGAGGTCAAGACATTGAAGAGAAATAATTTCCAGTTCATTTAAAAGCTTTGTGGGGCGGGATGGCCCATGGTTAAGCATACAGCTCTTTTTACAAAGTTAGGTTTGCAAGTGCTCAGTTAGTTGGCTTCAAAAGAAAATAACTTCTAAGATTTTTTTTTTTTTTAATAATTCCAGTCTGTCTTTTTAGAAAAGACTGCTGGATTATATGGTTGTAAAGCTATGGCATTGCTGTGCACAGCTTGCACTAGAGATGAGATAGAACTGTAGAATTCCTGTATAAGGTTTTTGACTGCTTGGAAAAATTGTATCCCTGTCAATAAGGCCCCAAAATAAGAGCTCCCTCCAGCTTTCTGCCTTGCCTTCTGCCAAAATTCGCCACTGGTGCAGCAGAGGCAGTTAGGAAGCCATGCCTGCACTGCAGCGCTGAGGCTGAGGCAGGAGGGAGGGAGCTCTCCCAGTGCTGATTGCAGCTGACAGCAGCAGCCCTGAGGGGCCCACAGGGGCTGTGAGGAGGGGGAGAAGCCTCAAGGGAACTGAGCCAGGAGCAGGCGCCCATTGCAGGGCAGCTGGCTGATCAACCAGCACAGTCACCACTCCCAGCTGCCAGCATCAGTTCTGCACTGCAGAGAGCTGCTCTCATAGCTGAGAGGGTCTGCCTGCACCTCAGCTGCCCCAGTTTGCTGCTGTGTAACACAAACTGCAGATGAAGACAAATTAGCAGCATCACAAACACAGAAGTACTAACAGCACCAGCCCACCTTTCTCTCCTTCCCAGGATGTCATCCTGCCTGGCTCCCCAGGCTCATCCAGGAACAAAACTAAAATTAAGCACCTTACAGACATTCCCAGGCAGCCCCTGCAATTTTCTGTTCAGAAAAATCCTGCATTTCACAATGAACTCAGTGATGCTGCCCGAGCTCAGCACGTCTCTGAGTGAAGTCCTTTGCTGCAGCACAGCAGAGCTCAGGTGGGTTTGTTAGCCCTGCAGCTAAAGGCACCTTGGCAGAGATGCTGCAGGGACCTGAGGTCACTACACATTGGTGGCACTTCCTTGTGCAGCTCTAGAGTTACTGCCTGGCCCTGTGCTGGGCTGCACATTCACATGGAGGGGTTCACACCTTGTGACTGGAACCAAGGGGTGGACAGAGAGCGTCTCACATCAGTATTTGAGCCTCACATCTCTTTTCCTCCCTTTCTAACTGAAGGGGCTGTTTTGCACTTGCACAGAAAATGATAAAACCAATGAAGTGAAAAGCCATTAATCTGGATGTATCTTGTCTCAGTTTTGGGTACCTACAAAGGGGTGCTGGGCTGTGACTGATACTCATGGCCAGGAGCTGGCACCTTTCCAAGAAACATCAGTGGAAAAGTGGTGCCTCACAAACCCTATCTGGGAAAACAGTTAAGCAAACCCAAATTTAGAAACAAAAAGTAGGGGCACACAAAGCTAGTGGTGATGTAAAACTGAAGGAGACTATGTCTGCTAAGGGCTGCACTGGTACTAAGCCTAGGGCTTACAGAAATGAAAATTTTTGTCATTGTCTGTTTCATTAATCCTAGTTTGCGGGGGGTCCTTGGTTAAAATCAAGTGGAAAGCCTAAAAACAGGCGCAGAAGTGCTTCACATATGTGCCTCAGACAGATTTTTTATTTTTTCAGACCCATCCTGAGAAACTGGGTTTGGGCAAGCAAGGGTAGAGGAAGAAGGATGTCCTTTCATGCACCCATGCAGTATGTTCTCTGAGCTCTGCTCTTCTGTCTGCTTCCCTGAGTGTACTCAAAAGCACAGAAACCTCAGTAATTTTGGTGCCCTGACCTGATATCACTGACAGTTTTATCTCCAACCTCTTGCTCCAAAGGCTTTGGCATTTGCTGTTGCCAAAGGATCACTGTCCTCTCCTATTCCCCTGGTCTTCCCAGCTGGACAGAAGGCTGCAGAATTTGTTCCTTCATGAAGAAAACAATAAGGAGTTGAAAATGCAATGCCTGTTTGCTCTGTTAGTGCCAGCACTGCCCCAGGGTGATGCCATTTCACACAGGAGACCTGTGTGAAAGCATGGGCCTGCTTCAGCCTGGAGCTGCAGCCTTGGCCCTTATCAGGTATTGACTACCTATGAGGGCAATAGCACAAAGAATTTTGTTTGCTGAGGTAATGTCAGACTTTATTATAGAGCAACTGTACCATACCAAACATGTTTAATAATTAGGCAATGAGATATGACAAGAGGCAAATTCCAGCACAATTTTTACGTGCTTTGGATTGTATGATAAGGCTGAAGGCCAAGGAATTTTAAACAGATGCCCAAACTATTTTGCATTTGAATCATCTATTTGGTCTTACTTTTCCACACTCCTTAGCACAATGGTGCTATTCTGTCATAAATATTGTAAGCATTAAATTTCTTACGGTCTGAGACCTTGGAATCTATTCTCCAAGTGATATATGTGTATCGCTGGCATGCAGAACATGGAATGCACCCTTTTGTCCATGATTAAGTCTGGAATTGATTTTCAGACCACAGTTAACAGGTCTGAAAAATAGGTTTGCTGATGGAATTGCTGACAGATTAACTACATCGATGCAAGGGAACATCAGCTCAGTGTCATGGTTGCTAACTCTCAAATATTTTTCCTTATGCCTTAAAAAAGAAGATAAGAACTTGAGATTTTGAGACAATGATTGCTCTTATGTACAAATTTTATAAGAGTTCTGTTTACTTCATACTTGTCTCTCTACTTTAGAACTTGAACACATAATTATGAAATGCAATAATTTCCACAGGAAGACCACATTAATGCAGCATCAATTTTGAGACTTTAATCCTATAAAATCAGGTGAAGACAGACTGAAGAGTCTCACAATAGATTTAAAACAAGCTCTTTGTGGTGTGTTTTGCAAGGACTTTCTTTATGCAGAGAACATAACAGTGGGTAGTATGACGTACTGTACAGCAAATATTTGGTTTTGAGATAAGCATGGAGGCTTGAAATGTCTAATGAGCTGATTTAAATAAATAAGGCTGAGCTGGAATTCAGGCCCAGGATGTGTATGGCAGTGATGGGGAAGCTGCCCAGCTGCTTTGCCAGTTCTTCTCTAGAGACCAAACTTCTGGTGGGCAAGATACTGTAGCTTCAGGCTGCTCACCCCTCCCCAGCTCTGCTTTGGGTAATCCATACCTGCTGGAATAATATAAGCCATTCCTGGCATTAGTAGGTTTATTAATATTTAAGACAGTGTTCAGGACAATTAAAAGTAGAATCATGCTCTTTGGAATGGCTGGAATATCTTGTTCAGAGGAAGAAGTGCAAACTTAAAAACTAAATGTTGAATATTCTGTTATGTAGTCACATATGGCTGTAGTGTTCATTAGAGACATCAAAATGTAATTGTGATTCCTGCCCTCAAAGCTTCCGCTTCAGCAGAAAGCTGAAGTTTGGGGTGCACTGGAAACTTGGAGGAGGCAACCTCATCCCAAGGCAGAAGATCTCATGCCAAGACTAACTGTGGCCATGTAGGAGGGTGGGTGGACACAGACCAAGCTGGATGGTCACCGAGTGCCACCTCAGCACTACTTTCAAACTCAGAATAGGTGAAGATCTGATTACAGTACAGAAGGGCAAGGGTCAGGAAAGAAGGCATCAATTAAGATATGATCATCTGACCGTGTTGTTAGGTATTTGCACATCCTCCTGTGTGCTAAGCCAGCTGTTTGTGTATAACATCTGGAGTTGGGAGGAGTACAGCTGGGACACAGTCCTTTCCTGATTCCTGCAGATAATCAGCTTTTGCCCTGAGGAGCTACACTTTGCTAAAATCTTCCTCAAATCCAATTTTAAACAGACTGTAAGATCATACTGTAACACTGGCTGGCCAGGACAGCATATAACTAAATGTATGATGTATGCCTTGCAATGCATTTCACTGGGATAGTGAAGAAAGAAGTCAGTTATATTTAAGTCAACTACAGCCATGTCTTTCCATGTGGCTATTCTTTATATATATATATATATGTATATATATATATATATATATATATATATATATATTCTATAGAATATATATATATTCTAAGAATATATAAGAATATCTAATAATATTCTTATATATTCTAAAAATATATAAGAATATCTAAGAATATATATATATTCTTAGATATCTAGACTTTTATTATTTTCTTGAATAAGTAAGGGTTGTTTTACAGAAGCTTCAGGAAAATGGCTGCATTTTAATACAGTCTAATTGACTTTTGTGGTTATCTCTGAGAATTCCTGGCCATAAAAGCTAATTAAATTATACTGATCTACATATTCAGGAACGATTCTATTTCTTACCCTTGAAAGAAAAACAAAAATAAAGCCAACTAAACTGGAGGCTTATACTCATTATTAGAACACGTCAGTTTGATTTGCTCACTATTACAGGATATATTTCACTTTCTTGAACAAGTAACTGTCCTTACAAGTTTGAAGAATGTTGGTTAACTGATTTCAGATCTCTCATTCTGCAAATGCAGAAAGATCTGTACACTCAATTTACAATTTTACATTCATCTAATAATGCCCAAGAGAAAAGGTTAAAAAAATAAAGGCAAAAGTAAATAATCTGAATCTGCATGATAGAGTCTTTATAAAGTAGACATTTGCATTTTCTCCATTATCTTAATTATCTTTTTTTTAGATGTCCATTTTTTATTTTTCCCTTTTAGTTCCATGTATCTTGTAAAAGATCCTGACTTATTTGTTTTAACAGTTAAACAGTTAAAAATCGCTGGTTTTTTATCTGAACTTCCATTATTTTTCTGCATTTATTACCTGCACATTGCCAAATTTCCAAGATATTTAAGTACCAAACAAACCAGATGAGTGCTGAGTAAGATTTTATGAAGCAGGCTATATCTCTCAAAGTCTTAGTAGAGGTTTAAAACTATCTTTCAGCACCTAAATACCTTTCAAAACACGGCCTAAGGCAATAAGAAAAATTCTTCCTCAGAATTATGCCCATTTGCCCTGACAAAAATTGCAGAAACCAGTTCCTCTAGAGTTAGTACCCACATATTTCAACCCTTTTATTTAGAGGCCTTCTGACAAAATGCACCAAACTGATGTCTGTCTAAATGCCTTAATCCAGCTAAAAGCAGCACAGTGCACACTAAAGAATTTCCAAGAATTGCCCAGCAGCAGCTGAGACTCCAGCAGCTTCTACTCACCATGTCAGGGGACATGAAATGCTCTAGACACCAGTGAAGTGGCAACATCCTCCTTTTGGTTTTCTGTTATGAATTGACTGAACAGCTCTGACCATCACTTTCATCTTCTGCCAGTCTGTCACCCCTTCCCTCAACTTCTATGGCTCCAAGTATTCAGAGGACTGCTGTTACCATCTTGTTTGTATCTGAGAATTGCCTGGCAATGCAAGGCACAAGCATTGTCATTTCTACCACTTTTCCTTACTGCTGACCCACTCTTTTTCCCCAGCTCCAAACAGCTTTTAAAAACACTCCTAACATGATTTTTAAAATGTTCATTTACTAAACATAGAGTAGCAACAAGAAGACAGCAAGAAACCAATGCAGTTTACACTAATAAGTATCAACACCATCAAATCCCTCTGCGAAGACCCTCATAGCTGTGGGAATAATGAACATGAAAATCTAAAGAGCTCTTCCAACTAGAAAAAAAAAAGAAGAGCCAATTTGTCAAAAAAAAGGGAAAAAATCACACCTTTTTCTACAATGTAATGCAAAAACTTACCAGTGTTTTGCAAAGCACTATGAACTACAAAAGAAAAGAATGTGAACAATAGGAGATAAGTCTGCTGGTTTGCTAATTTAAACAAACTGTGAAAGGAAATGGTGAGGGACCAGCCTAAAGATTAGTCTCTGCCCGTGTTTCATACTGTTTAAGACCTTACTGAGCAACAGGTGCCACTTCCTTAACAGGAGTTGTGAACCAGCTATTAGCCATGTTAGGCTGAAGAACTGGGGGTCTACGTTTCTTTAGAGAGGACAGACCAAAGCAAGGACATTGTGAGAATAAGGACTCCCACTGAAACCTGCACCTCTCACATTCTTGTCAGCATGCACATACAGCACCACAGTGGCACCACAGCCACCTGCTCTGCATTGCTTTTTCTACTCTGAATTACATAAAATTCAGGATTCTGAGCATTGTCTGGGATATTACTGACAAAAGCAGACATTTCCAGATGCAAGGGGTCCCTGTTTACAGAGAGCCTACCCAGCAATGCTTCCCTGAGGGCCGCTGCAATCCAGCTGGGGAGTTGCAGTCCCATGCTCCTGCCAGGGCTTCCCCAGGATGCTGCTGAGCCAGCACCTCCCTGGGGCCAGGGCCTGCAGGGTGTCACCAGGGGCACAGGCAGGGCAGGACTTCACCCCAGGTGGGGAGCAGGGCAGCCAGGGCAGCTGGGTTCCACCAAGAGCCCACATCACTGGGTGGTGGAGAGGCAGGTCCAAGGGCAAGCCAGTCTAGAGGTGCTTGAGGGGCAAGAGGGTCCATGACTGGGTGTAGCTGTAGGCCAGCATCACAGCTCAGATGGAAGTGTAAAAGCACAGGCTAAAATGGGGCCCATGGGCAGGGGTCTGGTCCTTGGAGAGGCAGGGCAGGGACAGTAAGGCTGTTAGTGCACCCACAGTGCTTATCAGTCAGGAAACCTTGCTTATTCTGCTCTCCTTTTCCTGTGGTCTTCATGCCTTTCCTGTCTTTCCAGGATTTCTGTAATCTTTCTTGCTGAAGTCCTTGTAGGCACACAGATCCACAACAGAGGTTATCTCTTGCACTGTCCTCTTGCATCTGCACACTCTTGGGCATTCCCACTCCAGCTCCACTGTGACTTCAGGAGGGGTGGAGGTCCCTTCCTTTCCATGTGAGCTGGTGGCTTTTCTTAGGTTTATCATGGAGGAAAAGCAGCTGATTACACTCACAAAGTTTTAACGCAATACAGAAAAATAATAGCAGGGGTCAAACAGTCTCAGGTACATATGTCTTAGTTGTATTTACCTAACAGCAAGCCCTTCAGGTTCTAACAAACAGTAGCATTTCAAGGGTCGGGTTTCAGTAGTGAATTTGTGCACATAAAAAGAAAGTGTATCAGCTCTGCAAGAGGTCCGGCAATCCAAAATGTGTTTGTTTTTACCTGGGAAATCTGACCCCCAGGTTTGTCCTCAGCAGGGCTGAGCTGCAGGTGCTGCTGACAGTTGTAGCAGTGTGCTCTGTGCCCCTCCAGCGAATCAGAGTTCTGATCAGGCAGGTCAATAAATATGGCTGATAGATTTTAATTGACTCGTTTCACAGACCCATTATGTCTGTGTTCATTGATGGATGGCTAGGGAAGAGTTTCACAGCTTTTCTTATTAAAAATGGTTTGCTACCCCTTTGCCATAATTCAGAAGGAAACTGCTCCAGCTGGGCCTTTCTCTTTTTAGCAAAGCTGCTCATCTGTGTCTGTTTGATCCAAGGACAGTTATCTTGCATTAGCATACAGGATCTGATAAACAAGGGTGCACAATAAGATTAGAGCTTGTAGTGTTGACAGTACCATGGTCCATCCACAAAAACCTGCACAGTGCTTAGTGAGGACCCAGAGGCCATTCCCCACTGATCATATTCTGCTTCTAATCTTCCACCCACCCTCACCCACAATACTGCTTCACTGTTATGTCCTTCCCACAAGGCACCACAGTTTCTGTAACAATTGATTTTTGTGGCTCAAATGCATTTCTAAATGCAAAACTGGATTGCAAAAGAACTGCTGAGGCAATGGCGGTAACTGTTTTGGATTCCTCCACAGATATCTTCTGTGCACCCCTGAGAAGAAGGGGAAGTGTGCCTTTCTGGCACAAGGGCTGTAATATAACTAGAAAATTTTGTGACCTTCTAGGAAAATGAAAGTTTTTACAAGTCGTCAATTTACTGTCTGATTGTACAATGTCTGAGCTTTTAAAAACAACTCGTATTTGGAAACCTCCCTTCCTATTGGAATTTAGGTATATTGGTCACTTAAATAGGCTTTAGGAACCTTTAGGGTCTAGTCCTTAGATGCTTCTTTTCAGATAATGGCCTGCCCCCAGGGATGAGTGACATGGGTTTGACACTAAATTCTTTAATCCTGAAACTAGGTATGAAAGTGATGAGAGACTTCTGTGCAGGACAGACAAGCCTCCTGCATCATCCAGGTGTTACAAGTACATCAACCATGGTTCATCTCTCAGGACCTCAGTAGCCCTTACTTAAAACTCTGGTACTGATCATAAGGATGTTTCTATGGAGAGATCTAAATCCAGAGAAAAAGTAATTTAATATACGGCTGATCTGTAGTGTGCCAGAAAGACAAGTAGTGTTCGTACCAGGAATGACAGTCTTTGTACCAGACCTCCTTTAAGTAGCACATGAGAAAGCAGCTCTGTCTCTCAAAACCCTACAGTTTAAAAGTATGAAAAGACGCAGCAGATAGGCAGAGGAGAAAACAAGAGAACAAGTTTAAGGAAGTGAAAAACCAAATATTTTTCAGTCTAGTAGGTCTCATGCAAAATTAGGGAGATAATATGGAAAAGGTAGAGCTTTAAAGGAGCACTGAAGAGACATTAAGAGGCAGCTATGCAGATGTTTTGGGGAGAGGTTCTCTTGAGTGTTTGGGAAGCATGAGACAGAGCATGCAGGCCTGTGTTAGAAGAGCCAGCAGGAGGCCATGGGTATTGGTACAGTCAAAGACACAAATGAGCTTCTCAGTCCTGAAGTGGTAGGATAAGCCATGCTTCTCCCTGACCCCCAGCCAGGCACAGAGGGAAGGTACCAACAGAGACACTCCCTTAGAGCATTACAAACACTGTCTGTTAACAACACAAAAGCCCCCCTTAGTTTTGACCTGCTGTGAGCCAAAAATAGCTGTAAAACTGAAATGGAAACATATGGACAAATAACTGCTGAGGAAGAGGACTCCATAAAAGCAATATATACACAGTGTCTTCCAATGTTTCTAAACCAGTTTTTTCTCTGCATACAATTCAATAAGAAGGTACTGGATGTACCCTCTGATGTTTGTAAAGATTTAGCTACAACTTGAGAATTTTATTCCCCCATTTATACTTTTGTCATGTGTTGGTAGTTAATTGCACAGATCTTCCTTACCACACTAGATTTTCTAACATTCACCAATCATTTCTTGCTTCAGCTGCACTTCTTTTATATCAGTGTAACCTCCTTTGCATGGTCCCTTGGTGTTTTTTCTCTGCTTTGTTTGGATTAAAAAAGAAGGACTTGCTCTTGAAATCCTACCAATTACTACTTGAATATTTACGAGTACCTACTTGTAAATTCCTGAAAGTTTTAGTGAGTTTTGAATAATTGTTCTGATTATTATCTCTATTGTCCTTTATAAGGGAAAACTTGTGTCAGAATCATCACTATTCCACATTCTTCCAGCTCCAGAAGCAGTCCTGAAGTCAGGCCAGATAGATGCCTGGATTTGACCCTGTTAGTCTGCTTATCCATGTGTTTGCCAGATGTCCAGGTTAAAGCATAGCCCAGATAATTGAAAGTGCAAGTAGGAGGGAACTGGAGTTGCAAGGAAGAGACAACCTTACTGTGTCACACGAAGGACATCACAATCAGTATGTGTTTTCAACGCCCTTGCAGAAACAGAGGTAATCTTCTCCCTGACACCAGAAAGGCCTGTGTTTGCTCTGAGGAGCTGCTGTGCAGGGCTGATGTGTTGGCAGGATGCTGTCCTGAAAAAAGTTCTCTTAAAGTTCGGGCACCGATGGATCAAAAAAAAATTGACAGCTGTCCTGACTACAGCATTACTGTCCACACAAAGTTTGTCAGCACTTTTTTTTCCTCTTAATTCTCTTTGTTACAGTCACCTTACAAGACTATTGGAATGTACAACCAAAAAAAAATCCCATATTATCATTAAAACTTGTTTCTTCATTAATCTTTTGGACTAAATGATCTCTACCATCTGCACAGTGCAGGGATATTTTTAGCAATTGTAAACTGTAGTGATGGGACAGAAACATGCAGGGTAGTGCATTTTAGTCAGAATCTGAATTTGTGCTGTGTGGGTCAACCACATGCAATGTGAGAATTTGTAATGTCACCTATATCAACAATGTGTTTGTGCTCTGCTAAAAATCATATTATGTAGATTTAAAGTACCACAGTTCCTTTTTTAAAAAATTTCCTGAACCATAATTATGGTGACATGGCCATCAGGAGGCAAGGGCAGTGTGGTAGGTCAGGAGGCTGGCTGCCACGAGCTCTGTCCCATTAGTTCACCATTAGCGGGCTGTATGAATTCTCTGGCAAGTGTACATAAAAAGGCTCAAAAAAGAAGCCCACTCTCATCAGTCTGTGTCTAAGTCCTGATATTTAACTAACATTGCTTCAACTGCGGGACACATTTTAAAGAGTTGTATTTAAAAATGGCTTAGTCACTTCATGGTGTTTTGACCTATTGACTATACCTTAATGTATAGCCTACAAATAAGCAAGAGGAGAAAATACATGAGTCAGAAGTAGGTGGTGTCAAGATTCTTCACCATATTTCAGTCTCTTTATGAAGTGTTGACAACACAGCAAGAAAACAAAAAAAAATCCACAGAACTGGCAGCAGCAAGTACTCCTTTGGGTAAAGCACTACTGAAGCCAGTAGTAAAACCTGACACTTGTGCCAATGCTGTCCTAGAAGAATGCTAGGAAGGGTTCTGGTGGGGAGATGAAAAGCAAGCGTGGCTCTAGGTTGTGTTTAAGCTTCAGTACCTTTGAAAATCCAGGACATGCTAGTGAAGGCTTACAAAAAAGTTAGTGCCCC